CCCTCCCCCCAGCTGTTCTTTCATTTGCAACGAGAGCGCTACTTCCCCGAGTATCGTGCCAAGTTCTACGCCGCAGAGATGGCCAGCGCCATCGGCTACCTTCACTCGCTCAACATCATCTACAGGTCAGTCTGCTGAATAAATAACCAGTTACTGGGCCGGCTGCCGGTTGGGATGACAGACATGAATTATTTCCGCAGGGAAAACGTGCTGCTGAGTTAGGACTTATCAATAATTTTGTCAGTAGAAATGGCGTGTTTTGGCGGAGACCAGACAGTATTCTGTGGGTAGTTGGCGGGTGCTCTGGTGTGGTTTGTTTCTTCTTTCCTGTCAAACATCTATCGTCCTTATCTTCCCCCGCCCTCTTCTTTTTTATGTTTGTTACTCTCTTGTAACACCTCTAATCTTCTGGAGCTCATAAGACCTTATGCAGTTGCCAGCGCCGTAAAACCTCTACTATTAACTAAGACAAACAAGAGGTATTCTGGTCGGAATGGCTCAGATGTTGGGCGTGAAAAAAAAAGAAGTATGTGTTTTGGTCATGTGGGTGTGGTCAGCCTTTTAGAACGATACGATTTCTTAATGATAATATTTCTATGCAGGCAACGTCGAAAAGGTTATTATAGAGTAGTGGTGGTTGCTCTTTCTACTTCGTAAACTCTTTTGCTTTTTTAAGTAGAGGTTTTACGGCGCTCGCTACTGCATAAGGTCATATGAGCTCCAGAAGATTAGAGGAGTTACAAGAGAGTAACAAACATAAAAAAAGAAGGAGGGAAGATAAGGACGATAGATGTTTGATATGAAAGAAGGAGCAGACCACACCAGAGCAGCCGCCAACTACCCACTTCGTACACTCTTTCTGTGAGCGCCATTTGTTTATGGCGAAATGTTGCCCCTATTGAGTTGACGGGCAGAAAACTACTTTGCTGTTCAGACCCGGAAACATCTCTTGATTATCTCCCACGACGTTGTCTATTTACCCTAGTGGTGCTGTCTGGATATCTTTGGTGTGGTTAACGAGAGAGGGGGAAAGAGAGAGAGAGGGCGAGAAAGAGAGAGGAGATAGAGAGAGAAGAAGAGAGAGAGAGAGAGAGAGAGAGAGAGAAGGACGGACAGACAGACGGACGGATAGAGAAAGGAAGATGAAGAGGAAAAGGCTGTTGGGCGCGGCTCCTTTTACTCATCTCCTCACAC